CGGCGTGACGCGGTGGCCGCGGTCCGGCCTCCCCGGGGCTGGGGGCCCGATCACCCCAGGGGCCTGGCTGCCCCCCGGGGCCTGGCTGCCCGGCTGCCCCCGGGGCCCAGTCTGCCCCAGGGCTGGAGGCCCAGCCTCCTCCTTCCATCACAGCCAGCTCAAGTTCATCTCTTTGGGAGAAAGTGTATTCTATTATTTTTAATAATAACCTCCGCCTCCCCACACCTCAGTGTCGGGGGTTTCTCGCACCTCAAAGATGGATCAGCTTAAACATCCCCCTGCAGGCCCAAGGCTCTGGCCTGGCCAGCAGCACGGCGCAGTGCAGCCATGGCAGTCCCCTCCTCCTGTTGGCCTCAGCCCTCGGCAGCTGGGTTTTTATCCGGGGCTGCCTGGGAGAAGGTCTGTGATGGCATTTATTTGGTCTCCATGAAAAGAACAGCACAAAAGAGGGCTATAAAAGGTGGGTACATGTCACAAACTATTGCCAGCAGTGATTTAATACCAAATGAAAACACAACGTGCAATAAAATGGGATTTATTCTTGTTCCGCCTTTGTCTCGCCTGTCAAACCGTTGTACTGTGAGCTGCAGGCACGTCACTGGTGGCACCGCATCTCTCCGGCACAGGATTGACAGATGGAGCCGATTTGCTGTGGATCAGCTCTCTGCCTGTGACTGCACAGCAGCCATTGCTGCAGAAGTGGGAAGACGATGGTAGAGAAGATGATGGCAGTTGTCTGCTCCAGGGTGGGAAAGACAACAGGATTCGAGCTGGTCCTGCCTGGGCAGGAGAGATAATGAATGTGGCAGCAAGCAGCTGGGCAGGTGGTGGCCAGGGGTGTCACTTGGTGCAGGGCAGTCCCAATTCCTCTTCCCCAGCAAACACGGTGATTTGGAAGGTGACTTTGGATAAGGACATACAGAGTGTGTGGTCACTTATACAGGTAGGGGGGGTTGTGCACAGGAACACACAGCGTGTGCACCACATGTACATGGGCACAGGGGTGTGCACAGACACACACATGGGTTGATACAGCTCAGCCTTGACCTCAGCTGTTCTGATCACTGATATATCAAACATCAGTCCAAATGGAAGCGGTGGGTACAAATCGAGCCAGATCTGCACATGGAGAAACTGATGTCCACCAAAGGAATTGCCAAGCCCAGCAGATGCCCAAACCCAGGCATGTCACAGGCAACAGGACTAGAGGAAATGGCCTCAAGTTGCGCCAGGGGAGGTTCAGGTTGGATATTAGGAAAAATTTTTACACTGAAAGGGTTATCGCGCATTGGAATGGGCTGCCCGGGGAAGTGGTTGAGGCACCATCCCTGAAGGTGTTCAAAAGGGGGGTTGACATGGTGCTGGGGGACATGGTTTAGTGATGTTTTTTTTGTCAGATTTAGGTTGGTGGTTGGACTAGATGATCTTGAAGGTCCCTTTCAACCTAGATGATTCTATGATTCTATGTGGGAGGGCAGTGACATCTGGGCTTTGGGGAGAAGTTTGCAGGGAGAGGCAGTGACTGGGGGGGATTCAGCCATGCGATCTAATAGAGTGGCACTTGCAGACACCACCAGATCCAAGTGAATTTTACTCTCATATAACGTTTCTTGGATCCCGTTGAATTGTCAGTGTCAACAATTTGGGTTTTGTGGTTGCAGTAGTTATGATGTGATCCTAAGCACTCCAAATCTGGGTTTACCCAGTTGGTTGACGGTGGCCTGATCAGACTTGCAGTTCTTACACTCAAGTCCCAGTGAAATGTTTTTCTCAGCTCAGGTCTCAGGATAGTCTCACATTTGAGCAGTGTTTTGGAAGGAGCCTTCTGTCAGATCAGGTGTAGGTACTGGAGTTTATTTGCTTTTTGCAGGCCACTGTGGCAGGTGATTACGCTGTCACGCATGTAAATAGCTGGATTTGTGATGCCAGAGAGGATACTTGGTCTTGGCAAATGCAAAGGAGATGGACCTCATAAGACATTTGGATGTAGTCCTAGAAAATATGGGGAAGGAAGGGAGTCCCAGGGGGCTGACTGAAGATCTCACCTTTAGCAAGCAGTAAAATAGCAGATGAAATTGCATAAAACCAATGTAACATGATCCATAGGGGAAAGAACGATACTTGTTTTTGAGAGGCAGCAGTGGGCTCTGCATGGGCTAATGCCACTCAGGAATAATCCATCTCAAACAGAATACAGTAGACCTGAAAAAAGAAAAAAAACAAAAAAACAAAAAAAAACAAAAACCAAAAACAAACTTGCAGAAGGGCAGCAGGATGACCAGAGGTCCAGACTGGCTGCTGCGTGGAGAATACCTGCATAGACCAGGGGGGGCTCTTTTGGAAGGAACAACTGATGTGCATATGACTGAGGCATACACAGCTGCGAGGGACAAGGAGAACAAGAACAGGGCCAGGAGGTAAAATCAGTAAAAGGGAGATGCCTTCTCCCTCCCCTTGGCATTAAGCTGCTTCCACACATTGCTGTGGCTGCTCCATGTCAATAAGGGTTAAGAAACCCTAAAGGACAAATCTGTGGAAGGAAAATCTCTTAAGATTTACTCAGGACAAAGATATTACCTTTGGCTCAAGAACTCTCTGAGCTGCAAGGAATATTCTCTCTGTGTGTGCCCTGATCTCACACCCTTTGCTGTGCCCTGACTGCTGCCCAAATGTGGGAGGCTTGATGGTGGGGGGAGGGGAGGGATGGGGACGCATGGTGGCATTCTCCTGCTCCCATCTCTTTCTCTGAAAGGAGGAGGACTTTCAGGTCCCACAGCTCCAGGAAGCCTGAATTTGAGTCCCAGCATATGAATTACACAATATTTTACCATCCCATCACCATAAGCCCTATCTCTTAGGGTGTTGACCTGATAGAAGAGAGCCCACACCATCTTCAGAAGGGTATCCAGAACAGCTGGGTCTCTGTGTTGGGCCTGGAACTGTGTCCAGTTTCAGACTCTCAAATATGGTAAAGACACACTGGATACACTGGAGTGAGTCCATTGAAGGCCACCAAGACGATTATGTGAGCTCAGGAACATGACATAGGAGGAGAGGACGAGAGAAACTGTGTTTAAGCCATTCAGGGTAGGGCTAGATGGAGACCTCCTTGCACTCTTCAGCTACCTGACAGAAAGGTGCAGACCAGACAGAGCCAGCCACTTCCCAGAGGTGCAGAAGGATAGTCTGAAAGACAACAAATACAGGTGGCAAGGAGGAAAGGTCTGATTAGATATTAGGAAAAGAAATTGCACTGTGAGGGGGATCAAACAGTGCAACAGGGTCCCAGAGAGATGGGTGATCTCCATCCTGGGAGTCAGTCAGCTGTGGATGGGACAAGGCGCCGAGCAACTGACTGACATCCAGCTCAGAGTGGGCGGCTAGACCAGAGACCTCCAGACGTTCCTTCCCACCCCAGTTATGCCATGGTTCTGTGCCTCACCCTGGTAGCAGGGGGAAATCTGAACAGTGAGTGCAGGTTTAGCCTGACTGTGGTGAGACAGAGCCTGCTGTGGTGTTTGATCTCCCCCCAGACACACGGTGGATGTATTTTTTTCTGCCCTTTTAGCCTGTGAATGGATCTTGTGCCCGTCGCCCTGCTGAGACAGCAGCTTACAGCATCTGCTCTCCCGTCATTTCCTTCACAGAGAGTGACAGTGCCCTCTGCTCCCGCCTCCATTTGGAAACATGCTCCCTCACCATTTAGTTTTTGAAGCCTCAGCCAGCCAGCCACAAGGCTTCAATCCTTGTTAGCAAAGCTTTCCTCCCCTGCCTGCAAATCCAGCGCTGACTCACAGTGAGAGCCGCAGATGTTTTCTCGCTCCTCTCACACAATATATCCTTCCCTTTCCCCGCCAGCACACACACCCATAGGTTCCTCCCTTTCTGAAATCACAGGCTTCTTCCTGCTCTCCAACGTGACGTCAACAAGCTCTCACCCCCGAATCTTCACCAAATATTCATGCAGACTCTGCCAGGGCAGGGCGCTTACAGAAGACAAGCATGACAGAATTTTTGTGGGGGTATTTGATGGAGGATTCTCTCTGAAGCCCAGAGAAGCAGTCTGTGGGGAACACCGCAACCTCAGCTGTTTGAAGAGATGCTGCCTCAACCAGCAGTGTCAGTTTTAGCTCCGGGAGAGTGCTGGGGTTTTAACTTAATGATCATTTTTATCAGCTACCTGCACTGCATTTATAATAACTCTGTTTCACAGGCATGACAGGGAGCAACTGGCACATACTTGGTTGGAACCTTCATTTGCAATCCACTAATATGTTTATTTTAAACCTGCAAGGGTATATTTCCAAATGCTTGGCTGGACCCTCTGGACCCCTTTCTGGACCCTTCAGCAAAAGGAGGATCTGTGGGGTCTCACAGACAGCTGGGGAGAGGAGCACAAAGAAAGGTCCTATTAGTCTGTGCTAAGCATCACCTTCCCTGTGTCCAGGAAAGAACCAGTCGCTGTAGGTGCACAGATTGTCCTGGATCAGATCAATGGATACGGGGTAGTAAGTTTTCCTACCTTTGCAGGAGCACAGCCCGACTGTCCCATCCTGCACAGAGGAAAGGACATGGAAGAAGAAAACCCGTCCTCCACCCACCAGTTGTGTTGGGTTTCGGCTTTTTCCAAACATCTTCTTCCCCATCCCTTATAAGAGAAAAGCAGCAGGTACAGGCGCATCCCTCGGCCTTGCTTGGTCCCTCCAGCCCTATGGCATGGCTCAGCTCTGCCCCAGGTTCTCTAGGGAACACTGTGGAGATGATCCATATCGTTCTCATCCACAACTGTTTCTCTGCCATCCCGGACACCTGCCTGTGCCCTTCCATGCTACCACTGAAGGCATCTGGGAGAGAACCCTGGTGGTCTTGCTTTTCCTTGGTCAACCCCAGTTATCGCTATTGTGAAAACCACTGCTGCAGCCCCAAGGTGAGAAAAGTATCAGCAGGGGAGCAAGGGTCTCTCTTGGAGCTCCTTCTCCAGATGGACCATGGTCTCCCTCATGAAGTCCTGGTCCTCATCACTTCTGGCACTGCAGGAAACTGCTGCCCAGGACTATTGGTGAGACCCTAACCCTGGAACTGGGAACCTGTCAGCAGAACTCCCCTATGTCCTGAGCCCATCCCCCCTGACTTTGTGTCACTTCAGAGCAAAGTTCTTTGGGAACGACAACCAGTCGCTCCCTGTTCACCTTCCACACTCTCCATTCAGCATTTCGCAGACCTCCAGCTCCTTTCCACGCGGTCCTCCCATCTCTTGAAAGGCGACGATTTTAGGTTTGATGAGTTTGACCTTAGTTGCCCTAACTTTGTAAATGAAAGCCATGGCTGGCGGTAAGGAGTCCTTGATGCTCACCACCACGTCAGCCATTTCCCCTGCGGCAGCAGGCTGTCCCCAGCCGTCCCAGTTCCACCACATCCTGGAGGGGCTTGTGCAACCTCCAGGCACGCTGGCCCAGGGCCACTTCCCCCGGGGCCCTCGTGATGCCCGGCCCAGCTGGCGGGGATTTCTTGGAAGAAGCAACCCAGCGGGGTTCCTGCCTGCCCAGCAGAGCAGGAAGGAACCTGTGGCTCCACCATGAGCCTTGGGGCTGTGGCCCCCGGGAGAGAGGTGGGGTGCAAGTGCGGTGGGGAGGGCAACCGTGGGGAGGGGGTGAGGACACCTGTGGGGATGTGGACAAGGACACCTGTGGAGAGGGGGAGAGCATGGCTGTGGGGCTGGGGTGAGGACACTTATAGGCTGGGGGGTGAAGACACCCGGGCTGAGGGGGCGAGGAGAGCTGTGGAGAGAGGGAGGGGGACACTGTGGGGAGGGGGTAAGGACACCCGTGGGGACGGCAGCGAGGCCACCCTTGCGCAGGGGAGGCACGGGCCGCTTCGTACCCGAGCGACAGGCGCCTCCCGCCGCGCCCCCGTC